TTAGGGTCTCTATAATGAAGACTTCTATTTTTCCCTATAGAACTCTATAAAATTTTTCTGCCTTCTCATTTCTCTTCCAATTTAATTTCAGAGAAACCCTTGGCATTTTTTATAACTATTCTAAGCGTTTATGAAGAAAAAAATAGTGTCCCATGGCGTTCATAGGTCAAAATTGCAGTTTTTACAATTGACAGCAATCGGCAGTAAGTGACACTTTGCCAAAAATATCACCCCACTCCTACAGTATCCCCTGTTATTGCTATATTTTCTGTCATATTTTCCTACATTCCATCAATTATTTTAAACATTGATATTTTTATTTTGAAATAAAAAGAAAATAATATACATGAACTTAGCCAATCTAGTAACGCACGCTATTCGGAGCACTATATTACGTTTTTCAAAGTCAAATTTACGTGTTTATTTTAAAAAAGCTACATGTTTATTCGGGGATTAGGCATGCTTATTAGCGCCCTCTATTAGGGAGGGCACTAACTCCTATAATTCATCAGAAATTTCATGAAAGGCAAAGTCATACTCGTCAAAATACTGAAATTTTTTGTGGATAGTAACTTGACCATTGGTAAAAGGTACAGACTAATTATACAATTTACAAAAAAAACCATGTTTAAGTGTTTGTTTGTGTGTGTGTGGGTGAGTGTGTGTGTGTGTTTGGTGTGGATGTTTTTGTTTGTGAGTATGGTATGACTACGTACATTAATAACTCCGCAATGTCCAGGTGGGTTGGGGGTTCGGGGTTGGGGAATTCTTCAATTTTTTTGCTTTTAGTACTCACTGACTAGAACTCTTTGACGATATACAGGAAAATATTACAAGTCACTGTCTGATGCAATGCATTACGCACAGCAATTTACAAATTAGGGGGGGGGTAGGGAATTCGGAAGTTGAGGTTGAACACCTATGGAATATCTTTTAACTCAAATTCTCCTCGGTACACCAGAAAAAAGAATGTTGTTACTATAATATCAATTTTCAAAGATCTGAGTGAGGAAAATAGTAAGCTATGACATGTTTTTGATCTATTTTGTGGAAAAAGACTTCAAAAATGCTATATATTAGTTATTTTAGAGCCTACATTTATTAAATGCAAAGAAACTTATTTATCCATTTTTGTTATAGATGTGATATTTGGATATATAGATATATAAAACATCTCCATATTTTATGTACAATATAGGATGAGGTCATTTTAAGACGTTTAAAGAGGCTGGGTGGTCGTGGCCATTTTTAGACTATTTAGATCTCCTTCAGAAGAAGAGCTCCATATAAACAAAAATGATCAAAATTTAAAAAAAATATACATTCATTACAGTAGGAATATACAATTCCTAAAAATTATGTAATGTGGTTCAAATCTCCATGTTAAGGACATTAAGATTCTTTATTTAGACTTTTAATGTGATGTCGAAAATAGAGAAAAAAGAAAAAAAAAATAAATTAATAAAATCAATACAATTATTTTATTTGAGCAAGGATAACACATTTTATCATTGTTTATATGATTTAATTGTTGTTATCTTTTATTTCTATATTTATGAACCTATTAAGAAAAAAATATGTTAACATGTATCAAGATAATGTATTATTATTTCTAATTCTTTACAACACTGTATACACTTCATGAAAAGTGCTGCGAACCTACATACATGTAAATTACATTATTTAATTGCTATAATTATATTTTTAGACCACAGTTTGAAAATTTTGCTGGTCATCAACAGTTATATATAGGTATAATTAATTTATTTGCAAGATTTTTTTCAGGTTCGCAGCCCTTTTCGAATATCTTAGTGATTCAGGTGTTCATGTGTAAAAACTTGGCAGTGTTTCAACAAAATTGAAGACAAATTTACTTTGTTTTTTGTGTACTACCTTGATTTCAGAGCACTTGTTTTCCGATAAAAAAAATTCCTACTTTCTGCAACAAGTGATGCTACTTTTCTGCGATTAAAGTTTTTGCATTACCACGATTTCTTTAAACATTAACTCTTCCGTTAGCCAAGCACCCGTTGCCCTCAACACAGGAAAGTGAAAATATGCACTAGACAAAATTGCTATGGACCACCTAAGAGAATTCATATTTTACTTTTAAAAACCTGTTTATGTTGCATTTGATATATAAATAGGTTGCTTTAGCAACAAATAAGGAATATTAATGTCAAAATTTATAAATAACCACGATGTTCATTGGATTGTGAACAATAAATAGAAAAAAATATATCGAGTCTAGTCCATTTTTGAAAAAAAAAATTTCATTGTATTTGTGTTCCTTCCATTTGTACTAATTAAAAACTCAGAAATAAACAAAACAATTAAAAGCTTATGAATTCCACTCATTAAAAATTGTTCAAAATAGATTAACAAACATTAAATTGTTTACTTTAGATAACCAAAGCATCTAGTAAGCAGCATACAATCAGTTGAAAATTGTTCCACAAAACCGGAAGTGGGCGGATTTGACATAATTATACTAAGGTATCAGGTGATTACTAGGAAATATGATAATCAATGATTTAATGTTATTTGTTTTAAAATGGGGGACTACTCCTGTGGCAGTCTCACAGACCCCTCTAGTGATCATGAATTTCATATCTGAGCAAAATTTGTGCGCAGTGCACAGCTGGAAATTGGTTTTCGGACAAAAAGGTCATTTCATACTTTTTTTCCATGATACCAAGACATTTGTCAATCCCATTCTTTGGAAATAATGGCATATCATATACACTAGTACCGATCCGGCAAATGTTCAATTAACAAATAAAATTAACAAGTGGTGCGTTAGCAATTTTGTCTAGTGTATGTAATTAGGCAGGATAAGTCTTTTTAAGAATTTGATTTAAATCCATCAGCACTGTATAAAACAACGATTAAAAACAACCACTGCTCTTAAATATTCTGAAAAAATGATCTAAATAACATATATGCATGCTTTCATATTTCGTTGCGAGCTTCGTATATAATTGTTTCTGTATGAACAATGCCTATAACATCTTTTTAACGAATCACTACTAATTTTTTATGCTAATCATTACCGGTAGAACTCTTTAAAAAAATGCAAGTAAATATCAGAAACCGTGTAATGATTAGCTTTATAGCGAAATACATGTATATTACTTGAACACATTGTCCGCCGTCATAAGATCCTGACTTCTCTAAACCATGATTTTCATTCAGCTTAACCCAGCTAGCTGTCACTATAGAAGGCCAAAATCGCCTCATATTCCCGGAAAAAGTGTTAAATTTATCATGAGTTAAATATTTCCTGCTGAATTTTATGTATACTGAAAAGAAAAAGAAACACACATGATTGCATCACCAAAAATTATCTCAAGAGAACCATGGCCACATCGCTCACCTGAGCACATGAGCTAATTAGAAAACACAAATCAACTCAGTAGTGAAAAGTTTACTTGCTGGGGGAGGGATTTGAATTCTTTATAACTTAAGAATGTAACTATATCAATAAAGCATACACGTATAATTTTGCAATACTTGACAAGAAGATTTTTAGATCCGGGGGTCATAATTTGAACAAATATGAATCTACACTACCCGAGGATGCTTCCATATGAGTTTCATCATTCCTGGCCCAATGGTTATGGAGAGAAAGATTTTTCCAACACATTACTTGATCTCCCATTGTGACCTCCTATATATTCCTATGTAAAACTTTGACAAGCCATTGCCACCACAACCCCCTGGGGTAATGATTTGAACAAACTTGAATCTACACTACCCGAGAATGCCTCCGAATGAGTTTCATCATTCCTGACCCAATGGTTCTGAAAAAGATTTTCCCTATGCATTCCTATGTAAAACTTTGCCAAGTCATTGTAGCCATACCCAAATCCAGGGGTCATGATTTGAACAAATATGATTCAACACTACCTGAAAATGCTTCCATATGAGTTTCATCATTCCTGGCCCAATGGTTCTAGAGAAGAAGATTTTTAAAGATTTTTCCTATATATTACTATGTAATTTTTTTTTTAAAGTTTGTTATTAGTGCTAAATTTTAAAACCACTTGATTTTATTGACAGCGAAGAAACACTCAGGAAATGCTTAAAACTGACTAGTGTACAAACAGTTAGATACCTCGGACCTGCTCAAAACAATCTAGAACCAAGTAATCTAACATAATAAAATATTGATTAAATAATTATCACTATGCATTGTCATCATTATCATTGAATGAATACGTCTTTAGAGGGGTTGATTTGTTTTGATTGCAATTTACATCTGTGATCTGGATGGCAATTATCTCTTAATACCAACAAGAGAGAACTTCATTAATGACACACACATTCCTTTTCTTCTTCTTTTTTTTTTTTGACATACACAATCTTATTCTACGTTGATCAAACAACACAGATTAAAATAATATAAATCATTGTGTTTCAAAGCTGAATACACATATTAAAGAATGGTGGTGCATAATTTAGATAAACATAAAACAAAAAAAATCAAAATTTATATAATGATTAGAAAGAAACTACATTATAATTATAAAATAAACTGTCTTCTGTATAATTGAAGGACTGGGGATATGTTTTGCAATAGAATATAAGACAGCATAATGGGGAGTTGTGGTGACAATATATCATGCATGTGTATTAAATAAAGTAATTGAATGTAATTGAAAAAGTAATTGAAATTACATGGTATTTTTTCATTGTAATTAATTGAATCACAATTACAAGTAATCAATAAAAAATGTTCAATTACAAATTACATTCAATAAATATTAAAAATGTAATTAATTAAAGTCAATTGCAATTGTTTTTTTCAATTACCCGATCCCTGCTCTGTACTTGATCCGTGGATAAAGCTATTATTGTAGAACGTAAATTTAAAACAAGAGAATTAAACAAGTGTTATCTTTCTAAAATTGAAATATATTTTTGAAATTAAATCTTTGTAGTCTTATGAAATTGGAAATATAAAGACCTCATATAAAGCCGCAGTCAGGCACACTTACACAGTAACGTACAAGAATGACAGACACAGCCCCTCGAAAATCTCCAAAGTTCAACGAAATCCACTTCACTATTAAGTATGAAGTATATTAAACAATATTCTTTAAAAGTGCGCTAATCCTTAATTTTATATAATTTCGTTGTGTATCAAGTCAATCAAGGAAGTTTATCGAAATACGGCTAAATTTTACATAGTTCCCCGGCGTGAGGAAGTTGCACACAGCTCTTTCCTGTTTAGAATTTTCATATTTAGAAATTTACTTTTATTAGACTTTATATATACTTATGCAAATAGGTGAATTCATATTCATCAGAACTAATGCTGTTTAAAATTAAATCGAATCCTATATTCATTTTCTCGGAATATATTACGGCGTATTTCCTATGGGCGTCCTTAATCTAGCTGCGATATAAGTATGACCAATCAGGGCTTTTTTGCTCTTGAGAAGAAGATTCTTTTGTATATAATCATATGTTGACTTTTTAATCCTGTGTAAAACTTTTATCCTCTATTTTTGACCCATCCAACACACACAGATCATGATTTAAAAAAATATATATATTTCCTGTTCAGCTATATTAAAAAAAAGTAATATTAAATTTTATCTTAATATCTTCTTTAAATGCATTAAAGTTAGCAATCAATGTAAAATACTTACTACAACATAAAAGTGGAGAAGTAATTAGTTACTAATAATGATAATACCATACTTTGTAACAGTTTCAGGGCTTGTATCAGCTGTGTGTCACATGACTAGTATAAAAATATAATTGTTAGGCAGATTGATACGCATTAAAAAAAAAACTTAAGTTCCTTTACCTGAATAGTGCTGGTAGCTCGTTTGCCCTGTTTGGCCATGGGAAGTTTTCGTAATTTTTCGCCTCTATATTGCAATGAATTTTTATAATATTCTTCTCAGCACTGTTACAACGCACTTTTGAAAAAAAAGATCAAAGTGCGTTAAAAAACTACGTACGCTAACTCTTGATTCCTTTACACTCATTTAATTGAATATTAATGACAGTTTGGTCATAAAATGAGAATGAGAATGAGAAGATCTGTTCAATTATAATTGATTAATAATTTTAATACCAGTATAAAATAGTTAATTATCCCTTATTCTAGTTCTTTAAAAAAAGGGGGGTAGGCGATATTTTCTGTTGAAACCGGGCTTTACACCATCACCGTATTTTAAGATATTTTTGAATGTGAATAAATGTTCCTTGCCTCGTTTCTTATGTTTTAAGCATATGAAATTCAACATATATCATTAATAAAATACTATGTTTTAGTTGTTAACCCCTTTGAAATTGGTGAAAAATTAGAACTTTTGCATTTGTTTTGGTCAACATATGCCCCCCACCCCCCACCCCCTTCCCCCACCCCCGTGAAACACAAAAAGCTTTGGTACGAAAATGTGAAATAACAGTCTATATTACCTGTATGGTGGGAATTTTGTTTCAGGGGGGGGGGGGGTTTAAAATATTTTCCGTTTCCGTTGATTTCTATAGTGAAAAACGCGAGTTTTACCAAAATTATAGGTTTATCTCTCTTTGTTTTCCCAAATAAGCAATGTGTTATGGAATTTCATGTAAATATGAATACAAATATGGAAAATCATTCAAATATATTAAATTTTGAAAATTGACTTAGAGGTAGGCGGGAGAACAATACTATTGTTTGTAGTTCTTTTGGACAAAGTTAACGACTTTGAAAAAATAATTCTTATTTTCAAAATGCGTTAATATCGACCATATTAACGCACTTTGAAAAAAAAATGTGCATGACTTAAAGTAGTCAATATTCTAGCAAATCTTAGATATGATAAATAATTTTTTGCACCGGGTTGGATAACTTTTCGTTGATTCGTCACTTAAGGATCTGAGATATAGACATTTTACATTTGAAACTTAGAGGTACGAGGAATGCGGCAAAATAGAGTGACTGTCCAAGTTTGTAAAATAATTTTCCAACACAACATAAGGGCGTTTTTATAGTTACTAGTATTTAATAAGTATTAAGAAGTACAACATTTTTCTTATACATGTACCTATGCAAGATGATGGCATTTATTTTACGGTTATTTAAACAGATTGGTATTGAAGAGTATGAAAACATGTTTATGCATTTTATATTTTTATTTTTGATTTGTATTTGAATTTGTAAAGTTACTTTGTCTAAAACTTGGTGAAGTACCTATGGTTGCTAACATCAGCGATATGGCCCCTAAACCTCTCTTCTATAATAAAAGATGGTGTGATATTATTTTTTAAAGCAAAGCTTATTTATTTTTTATATTTTTTTACGTTAACTTTAATTTATGAAACGAAAAATGAATACATATATTTGGGTAGGAAAAATAAAGAAATGGACTGAGGGTTCTGCTACCTGTCTTTTCCTTTTCTCAATAAGAATAGATCATTTCTACTTTTTTTTTGGAAGAATTATAAAAAAAAAAATAATGCTGTCTATTTCTAAAATGTAAGTCCGGAAATTTTATTTTGAAATTCTTTTCAAATTCGTTAAGTGCCTCCATGGTAAAATATGTTGATGTACACTTTTAACGCACTTTGAAAAAAAAAAACATTCAAAATGTGTTAATGTTGTCCCAAATTTTCACAAAAAATCAGCATGCATTACCAGGGTTTTCGAAATTATGAAAATTTTCCCATTATTCAAAGAAAAGTATACAAAAATTACAAAACACAATTTACAGATTTTTTTTCGAAATTTGTTTTAGAAGAGGTGTGCAAATCCATAATTATAGAAAAATTTAAAGTACTGCACACAGGTCAATCATCTAGTAGAATTCAACTCCAGGTAAAAGCTCAATAAAGTTCAAAATATGTTGCATACGACCTTAAGGTCAAAATTTCAAACAGGTATCGTCGTTATTCAGTAAGAACGTAAAATGACGTCGCGTGCAACGAATTAAGTTTCCAATCATTCAAATAACTTTATAACATATATAAACTCTTTAAAGATGTTTTTTTATAATTGTCTTCTTTCAAGATCTTAAATTTTCAATATATACCATGAAGATGAATTTGTTCTCTCCCATAGGCAGATCTAGTAATTTCGACGGGAGGGGGGGTATATACGGATTCTGAAAACAGATTTTGTTAATTTGGAAATATAATATGTGTACCGTACAATTCAACACTAATATATTTGATATTCTAGCTCGATTTAAAGATACAAAGCACTTGTACATTTAGACATAAAAACTACTGATGACATACTTTTTCTATCAAAAATGTCGGATGGTCATTTAAAGGAAGTAAATAATTTCTTGACAGCTTTATATATTGTTTCTTTTCAAATTATTTCATTCATATACTTTTAACAATAAGTAGACTACTGTCGATGTTATTATTACTTAACTTTAACATTGATTTATACGCTTGGAGGTTTGATGAGGTGTGGATGGGAGTTCCACATTAACTGTATTTAATTCCTAAACAAAATGCAAACTCAATTTCAAGCTTTCATCCGAACAAAACAAAATAGAATCAAAAGTAATTATTATCAGAGAATAGCTTTTCGGCATCTTAAATTTTATAATTGCTACCTTTTAAAAAACACTCCGTATTTTCACTCAATTCTTCTCCATTGAGGTTTTAGAATAATTCATAAACATTTTCCTTCTTGTATTTTGATAAGTCTAAGGTGCATGTATATGCATACGTCATTCACATATTTTTTTGTATTTGCATGTTATATACAGGAATGTCCACTTTTGTATTATAACCATTTATACCAACAATGTCCCCTATTGTAATGTGAATTTTTATACACAAATATGTCCCCTATTGTATTGTGAATTTTTACACACAAATTATGTCCCCTATTGTATTGTAGTTTTTTATACACAAATGTCCCCTTTTGTATTGTGTATTTTTATACACAAAATATGTCCCCTATAGTCCATGAGCCACTGGGGGTGGTCGGTACCATTTTGGGTGAATAAACTTTATAGTGATATTTGGTAAGGCATACCCCTAACTAGTGAGAAAATGTATGATAGCATCAAATCCGTTGTGGCTTCAATGCTGGAGACACAGTTATTGCCCTTTATTTGCTCAAATTAGGTATTTTGAGCTAAAATATATTTGCAACCTGCAAAGTATTTGTCACACAGTTGCCAACCGTGATAGAAAGTTCTACCAGAATTAATCCGAGATATGATGAACATTTTAAAAGAGATTAACTGAGTTACTAGGCTTGATTCTAACAAAAATTGCATATTTTTACCAATTTTATTCAACAATTACATTTACCTCAAGAAATTGTATAAAGAAACAGATAAGTATCAACGCACATATTCTAGTTTAGTTATTCGTTCTTCGGTGGCGACGATGACCACTGTCTTATCTTCGTGGGGGAGGGGGATGACCAGGACATTGGATACGGAGGTGACTGTCAGGCCGATCCTCGCACAAGCAAATGATGGAGTTTTTATACTAGAGCCACGCCCCCTTCTTTGTAAGTCTCAGCTGGGATGGAGTATCCGCCAGGTACTTTGCCAGTTGACAACAGACTAATTGCTTTCTGGATCTCAGTGACTGGTTGATGGGAACCTTGGCAGTCGGTTGATGGCTTCGTCGTTGATGGTAGAAGGGTGGTTCAGAACGCCACCTGTCGAGTATCTTTTCCTTCTGTGTGATGAGTGTTAACCCGTCGTCTCTGAGGAGAGGGGATGAGCCTGAAGGAGTTGTCCTGTAGACTTCCCCAAGTCCACAGTAAAAGTTCTTCCTGGGCCTGTCATGAGATTTGGCGTAGCGTTGGATCTCGCCAGCTTTGGCATTCAGCCAGCCATCAGTCTTGCATATCCCGAAGCTTTTGTTGTACTATGCTGCGAGCGTTCCTCAGAGCGTCTTTTTCTTGCTGTGGAGGTGGGATCATCTATATGAGCCTTGTAAGCGCGATGTTTGTCCTCTAGAAGCTAAGTGATCTCGTAGTTTTTGTGTTTTTTTGGTGGATGGCCCAAGACACTTGAAGGCTGTATTATACATTGTATTACAAAGTGTGTTCTATGCTATTTCCACGTCGTGGTCATCCAGCAGGATGGAGTACAGGCAATCTTCCAGGGTGTCAGAAAA